TCGCGTTGGTCAAGACATCGAACTGCAACAGCTGTGGGTATATTTGTTCTCTTCACAAGTCTAGCAATGATTGTTAGTATATTGGTCGTTTGCTTCACTTCACCGAAAGCAAAGGGTATGTTCTGATTTTTTTTCATATATGATATTAATTAATTAATTCAAATGATATATCAGGATCGATAACTAATATATTACTGTATTTGTTTAAGTATTTTGAAGTTCCTTATGTATTACATTATCTTATAGGGCTAACCTGTGCATTCCTAATAATAGTATCAGTGTAGGTTTCTGGAGAAGAAAAGTAACAGTCAATAGATGGTTCCATATTTCTCCATCGAAAATTGTCGATGAACATTTCATTATCGTCATAGAACAGGACTAATATTCATTTGATTTCATCCACCACAGTTGAAGAATTTTATCATTGTATTGAATTTGTAGCTAAGAATAGTCTACAGAAGAAATTATGTGATTGAGAAGAAACGTAGCTTAAACATATAATTTTAGGCATTAATATAATTTCTTCTTACTCCGAAACAATGCGTTATTTTTAAACAATTTTACAGTAAATGGAAAAAAATGAATAAGTGCACATGCCATCTACTTAATATTTTTTATTGTACTCAGAAATTACCTATGATTCTATGAATTCAATAAGAATAATTAGATTATTTATCTATTTTTATTTAGTCCAACAATGTGAACTAATATTTGTACAAACTCCTCAAAATCCAGTTGAATACAGTTTTGGCCCTCGATCTGTTGCCGTTGGCGATTTCAATGATGACGAGTTAGTCGATATTGTTGTTGCCAATCATCTTGTTGATAGTATATCTGTATTTCTTGGATACAATAATGGTGCTTTTGCAAGTGAAATGAGATACTCGACTGGTTTATATTCTGCTCCATACATGGTAGCGATCGGCGATTTTAACAACGATCATCACACGGATATTGCTGTCGCATATTTCGGTACTAACAGCATCGGTGTATTTCTTGGACTGGGAAACGGTTCTTTTACTAATACAACAGTAATCTCAACTGGTTCATCTCGTCCAGTCTGGATACATGTAACTGATCTGGATAATGACACCTCACTCGATATCGTTACAGCTAATTATGGAACTGATAGTATTAGCATATTTTATGGATCTGGAGATGGACGTTTTGCATATCCAATGACAATTTCAACCGGCTATGATTCTTCGCCATTCTCGGTCATCAGTGCAGACTTTAACAATGATAATCATTTAGATCTTGCTATTGCAAATTACGGTACAAATAAATTAGTTATATTTATTGGAAATGGCAACAGAACCTTTTTACATCAACAAATATTTTCCACTGGAATTAATTCACATCCATATTCACTCATCGTTGGTCATTTTAATGATGACAATTTATTGGATATCGCTGTCGCTAATTATGGAACTAACAATGTAGGTGTACTTCTAGGTAACATCAACGGTATTTTTACAAGTCAAACAACATACTCACTTAATACTTCTTCACCATATTCTATTGATCTTGGCGATTTTAATAAAGATAATCGACTTGATTTAGTTGTCAGTAATAAAGGTACAAATAACATAGCAATGTTACTGGGACTTGGTAATGGCAGTTTTTCTGAACCAGTAATGAATTCAACCGGTTCTTCTTCTTCAATCTCGCTTGCTGTAGTTGATTTCAATCAAGATAATCTACTTGACGTTATTATCATCAGCAATGATACTGGCAGTATAGGTATTCTCTTTGGTTATGATGAAGGCTTCGAACCACAAATTACGTATTCAACTGGTATTGGTCCATATTCTGTAGCTGTTGGTGATTTCAACAATGACGCTCGACTGGATATCGTCGTTGCCAATCTGTATGACAACACTGCAAGTGTACTTCTCGGATATGGCAATGGTTCTTTTGCAAATCAAACTACATATCCAACTGGCACTTATCCATCTTCTGTAGCTGTTGGTGATTTCGACAATGATGCTCGATTGGATATCGTTGTTGCCAATAGCTTTGACAGCACTGTCAGTGTATTTCTTGGATATGGCAATGGTTCTTTTGCAAATCAAACTATCTGTTTAACTGGCTATTATCCACAATCTGTCGCTGTTGGTGATTTCAACAATGATACTCGACTGGATATTGTCGTTACTAATTTCTATAGCAATACTACAAGTGTACTTCTCGGATATGGCAATGGTTATTTTGAAAATCAAACTACATATTCAACTGGCTCTCAGCCAGTTTCTGTAGATGTTGGTGATTTTAACAATGACACTCGACTGGATATCGTTGTTGCCAATCAGGGTGACAACACCGTAAGTGTACTTCTCGGATATGGCAATGGTTCTTTTGCAAATCAAACTACATATTCAACTGGCTCTCAGCCAGTTTCTGTAGCTGTTGGTGATTTCAACAATGACACTCGATTGGATATCGTCGTTGCCAATGAGGGTGACAACACTGTCAGTGTACTTCTCGGATATGGCAATGGTTTTTTTACAAATCAAGCAACGTTTGCAACTGGCTATGGGCCACATTCTGTAGCTGTTGGTGATTTTAACAACGACACTCTACTAGATATCGCTGTTGTTAATGAGTATGGAGGCCTTGTAAGTGTACGTCTCGGATATGGCAATGGTTACTTTGCAAATAATATTAAATATGACATTGGCATTTACCCATCTTCTCTAGCAGTTGGTGATTTCAATAAGGACACTCGGTTAGATATTGTTGGTGCTAGTCGAAACCTCAATACTATAGGTGTCTTGCTGCATTATAGCAAAGGATCTTTAGGCAACGAAATAACAATTGCGTCTGGTGGTGGTTCTCGTCTACAATATGTTGCTGTCAAAGATTTTAACAATGATACGATGTTAGATCTTGTCGTCGTTAATTATGGCACTAATGATATAGGTGTACTTCTTGGAAATGGTAGTGGATCATTTTTAGAGCAAAAAACGTTTCCAACAGGCTCAAATCCATATTCGCTTGCCATAGGTGATTTCAATAATGATGGTCAACATGATTTTGCTGTAGCTAATTATGGTAGTAAAAACATTGATATGTTTGTAGGAAACGGAAGGGGAAAATTTACACATCAAGTAACTGATGGATCTAACTTGGCTTTCGCTCCTGTAGTTGTTACTACTGGTGATTTCGACAATGACGGCCAATCACAAATTATTGTTGCATATGACAATACTGATAATATAGATATATTTGTTGCATTTGATACTGGCGCTTTTAGAAATCAACTTACATATCCAACTGGTAATAATCCACAGTCTGTAGCTGTTGGCGATTTCAACAATGACACTCGACTGGATATTGTCGTTGCCAATTGGCATGCCGACACTGTAAGTGTACTTCTCGGATATGGCAATGGTTCTTTTGCAAATCAGACTACTTATTCAACTGGTATTGGTCCATATTCTGTAGCTGTTGGTGATTTCAACAATGACGCTCGACTGGATATCGTCGTTGCCAATCGGTATGACAACACTATAAGTGTACTTCTCGGATATGGCAATGGTTCTTTTGCAAATCGATCTACGTATTCAACTGGCAATAAACCAGAGTTTGTAGCTGTTGGTGATTTCGACAATGATGCTCGATTGGATATCGTTGTTGCCAATAGCTTTGACAGCACTGTCAGTGTACTTCTCGGATATGGCAATGGTTCTTTTGCAAATCAAACTACATATTTAACTGGCTCTGGACCAGTTTCTGTAGCTGTTGGCGATTTCAACAATGATACTCGACTGGATATTGTCGTTGCCAATTGGCGTGCCGACACTTTAAGTGTACTTCTCGGATATGGTGATGATTTTTTTGAAAATCAAACTACATATCCAACTGGCTCTCAGCCAGCTTCTGTAGCTGTTGGTAATTTCGACAATGATGCTCGATTGGATATCGTCGTTGCCAATCAGAATGACAACACTGTCAGTGTATTTCTTGGATATGGCAATGGTTCTTTTGCAAATCAAACTACCTATTCAACTGGCACTAATCCAGTTTCTGTAGCTGTTGGTGATTTCAACAATGACACTCGATTGGATATTATCGTTGTCAATTGGGGTGCTGACACTGTAAGTATACTTCTCGGATATAACAATGGTTCTTTTGAAAATCACAATACGTATTCAAATGGCTTCCAGTCATTTTCCGTAGCTGTTGGTGATTTCAACAATGACACTCGGCTGGATATCGTCTCTGCTAGTAGTGGTGGCAACAGTGTAAGTATTTTTCTTGGTTACTTAAATATGGGCTTTCAATACCAAACGACACTGATAACTGGTAACAAGTCTGTTCCGCGATCATCTGTCGTTGGCGATTTTAACAATGACACTTACATGGATATTGCTGTCGCGAATTCTGGCACCAATAATATTGGTATTTTTCTTGGATTTGGCAATATTTCTTTTTTAAATCAAACAACATTTGCAACTGGCTCTGGTCCATGGTCTTTAGCTGTTGCTGATTTAAACAATGATAATCGATTAGATATTATTGTTACTAATATTAATGATAGTAATATTAGTGTCTTTCTCGGGTACGGCAATGGATCTTTTGCAAATCAAACAATATATTCAACTGGAATTAATGCTGAACCTTACTCAGTTGCTATTGGTGATTTTAATAATGACGCCTTATTAGATATCATTGTCGCTAATTATCGTGCTAGTAACGTAGTTATATTGTTTGGATCTGGTGGTGGTAGATTTACAGATTCAAAAGTATATTTAGTTAGTTATGGATCTGCTCCATTTTCTGTTGTTGTTGGTGATTTCAACAATGATACAAAACTAGATTTTGCGGTCGCTAACTATGGTGATGACAATTTAAAGATTTTATTACAAACTTGTTAATTGATCTCACTATATTTAAATATTTTTATTGTTCATTCTTATTCTATATTATGTGTTTGCTATTACTAATATCTCTAATAAACCTTTTTTTTATACGTCACTTTATTTAATGTATTCGATTAGTTAGAACTATGAAATAAATATGTTTATAAATAAGAAAACTATAGTAAGTTATTTGACGGGCTTAGATTTAGGTGTCATTATATTTTTCTTTATCTCTTGTCCACACCCACATCGACAGTCGCTTTGTATCGACTAAATTAAAGGAACAAGATAATTTGATTAAATCTTCCTAGCGAAGATCCTGAAAATAGTATATAAGTAAATGCATCAATTAGATTTTACATTAATATTTGAGAATTCATCTGTTACAGTGCTTTAAAAATCAAGAAAAACTAACGAGGATATTATTGATTTATTCACAAACAAAAATTTTGAAGAAGAATATTCTTAAAACTTATCTGACAGATATTTTTGAATAATAAGTATTCTATTCATAAAATATATATATGATATTCAGCAAATAAGATTGATAATGTTATATTTTATTTATAATATATAATCAGTAAGATGTTTTATAGTAGTGTAGAAAACTGATTTATAATTTCTTTCTCTTAATAGAATCTCATTGAATAGAATAATTGTTTGTTATTTCAAAAGAATATCTATAACATAATCATTAATTTTTTATGCTATTATTCATAGAATATATTCAATCTATACATTTGAAAAGTATATTTGCTTGTTATTGGTATTTTTTTAACTGACAAGTATATACATATAAGAGATTTATGATGTAGATTAGTTTTTGATAATAACTAGTCACTATTTCAGTCTTTATTTATACTACATCGATGCTTTTAACGTTATTATTTGTAAATATAATAAACCTATATAACAGATTTATTTGTTAGTAATATCAATGATAAAAAAATAGTAAGTTAAATTATATAAATCAAGGAAATATTTTATGATTCGATTAACATTTCAAATATGTGGTTTGTTTATGGCATTGAAGAACAAAGAGATGTTATAAGATATATGATCTTTATTAAAATATTTATTTATTATTCAATACAAACAATGCAAATAATATGAAATGAATAAAACTAATTGATTTGCTTTGTCTTCGTATATATATATGTAGCCATTTTCGAATTATAAAAAGAATTCTCTCTTTGTAAATGAGCGCTACAATATATAGAAATAGAACTATGGTAAGTAGCGAATCACATATATGAATTATAGATTGTTGAATGAGAGCGAGCGAGAGTAAATGTTCTCTTTTTTTATTCGTTCGAGAATAATAATAATAATAATATAGAAATTCTGTCTACACATTTCAGATCGTATTATTCCCTATGGTTCGATGGAGTGATACGTTTTGGGGTGAAGGTAATCGAGGTTTTGAAGTATTATCAACAAATGTCAAAAATGGCGCAATAGCAATCGAAGAATTCCAACGATTTCTAACTGAAAGGTACTTTTTGTTTTATCAAACAAAATATTTCTAGATTTATTTATTGAAAATTTTAGTTCACAATATGAATCAACATATTGTAAAAATTTATCACGTTTACAATCACAATTATTAAAAGTTCAACATGTTGGAACATTTACACCAATATGGCAATCAATAAGAGATTTATTAGAAAAAGTAGCTTTATCGCATTCAACAACTGTAACATATTATCAAGAGCTTTTACGTGAAATTCATAATTATCATGATTCATATCAAAAAAAAGTTAAAACATCTATACAAAAAGATTCAGATATATTACGTACAGCAGATCTTGTTTCACAATTAAATAATGCATTAAATACATTAAATAAAGCGAAAGAACAATATCATTCGATTGGTTTAGATTATGAACGTGCTAAACGTACAGGACATAATTTAACAAATGGAACATCAACACCAACACCACAAGATAATAGTACAACAAGTAGTCTTGCTCAAACAGCATTTAATACATTAACATCATCAACAAGACAATTTGAACGTTTAGAAAAAAAATTTCGTCAGTCACATGATGATTATAAAACATCAGTTGAAAAATATAATTTATTAAGAAATGAATTTGAAAAACGTTTTTATGATGGTAATTCTTTTCTTCTTTTTTATTCTCGATAATAATCAAAGATGCTTCAATAATGATTGTATTTAACCTTTTCTATCGTTTTGTTTCAAGGTTAAATGGCAATAAGATTAAAATGTTACAATCCGATAAGAATTTTTATTTTACATACAAAAAAATTAAAACTCATATAAATAATGATAATTATACTTAGACAAAAATCTTTTACCTTCACGTTCTAATCTAAGTAATATCACAGCAGGGGGTTCCAACGGATTAATAACTACTAAGTACACAGTTTGAGAAGAATAAACTAGTCTATTTTTAAAACAAATAACAAAAAAATTCTATTTTTTGTTTAGCTTGTACAAAATTTCAAGAATTTGAAGGTGAACATGTAGACAAAATGCTTAGTTTCTCATTAAATTATTCTGAAATACTTAAACGTAATAATGAACAAACACGTATAGCACAAAATGATTTTCATGAAAAAATAAAACAATTTACCGGTACTGATCTTATTGAAACATTTGTCGAACTGAAAAAAACAGGCATAGAACGACCTGGTAAATTTCCTTTTATTCTTATCTATCAGTCAAACTATTTTTTCTTTTTATTTTCTCCTTGACATTCTTCGTTCTATAGCAGCGATACAATTTGAAGAATTAGATAATATTAAATCGTCATTACATTTAACAAATCTTGCTTCATCAATAACACCCGATACAGCAGCTGGTCTTTCGGATGAATTAATTATATTTGATCAACCCGATCCAGGTGTACCAACATTTTCAGCACATTTTCCTGTATCATCACCAACAATGCTATCAGGTTGGCCATCAACAACAAATATGAAAAAAACTGAAAGTAATCGAGGTAAATTTTACGGTCGTCTAGTATTCTTGATAATTCTAATAAATAAATTCAGCTCATCATCCTCATTATAGAGTTTTACATGGTTTGTATAACACATATAAGCACGCGTACAGGAAAAAAAATAAAAATAAAACGCAAACCAGAAGCATAAGAAACAATTAGATAAAAAGCCATTTTTTTTTCTTACAAACACGCAAAAATTATTTTTCCTGCTGCATGATTAGATGCCTTTCTTGGTTTATTTTAACTAATAAGCGCGCATTTTTGCTTTATAACAGGATAGAAGAATCAATAAATAATTGTTTTTTTGAGCTTTGTTAATTTATCTCATATTATTAAACATCGTCTAGCTCTGGCTCCAAATCCTTCTATCAATCAACAACATTTATCATCTAATAATCAAACAACATCTTCGCTTTTTAATAATGCACCAATGAGTCTTAGTAATCCCAATAATCCACTGACACGTTTACATGAACCTAGCAATGAACAAACATCTAATCCATTTGATGTAAAAATCAGACGACCAGCATTCAAGGGTACGCTATAATAATTAATTGAAAAAAAAAAGAATTTGCTGAATGTACTTATTTGCATGTAAAAATACTAAACAAACATTTATCTATTAGGATTTTGGCCATCAAATCGTAAAGATAAAAAAGATAAAAAAAGTGAGAAAAAAACATCAAATAATTCGAAATCAACTAAAAATGATCAAACACCACGATCACAACCTCATGATGATAATACTTCAATTAATTCAGCTAATGAAACAAATGATTTTAATAAAATGATGGGTAGTATGGATAATATTAATGAAATACCAACAAATATAGCAAAAAATAAATGTGTAATAATAGAATATCAAAAGATTTTCCATGTTTTTATTCTTCTGCTTTTTTTTTCTCTTTTCAGCCAACACCTGAACCATATACAAAATCAAGTCCAACTATTCCAAATACTGGCATTAATCGACCAGGATGTCAAAGTACAATTCCATTTTCATCATCAGCTATGCGTAAATCTACAAGTACAAGTGATTCAAGTGATGATGATGATGATTATGATCTTCCCCTAACAAAAATACAATTTAAAATCAATCCAACAACACAAAAATCACCTATAGCAGAAGAAAGTGATGATACAAAAATTAGTAATGTTATGCGGCTCGTCGATAAAAATATTGGACATCTTGCTACATATTCTCGAGCAACAGGACGTGTAAGTTTATTTTAAATAATCAAAAATAAACAATATTTTCTTTTATTTTTCTCCTATAATTAAATTAATTTGTAGGATGAGGTAAAGATTAGTTGTTGTTTTGTTTAATCATTGTTTTGCATGAAAAAATAACAATTTCTATTTCTTGTTTTGAAAATTTTTAGTAATAAGAAAAAACTAAAGTTTTGTTTTATATTTATTAATAGAAAGTACCAGATATGAGTAAATCTGTATCTAGTGGACAAATTGGTGCAAGAATACCACCACCACTTCCATCACGTCCAGCATCGTAAGAGAAAATAAATTACTTTTTAAAAATGATTATATTATTATTTAGAACACTCTCAACAAGTATCACAACAGATAATATTGGTCCTCTTCCATCATCTCCACCACACACATCATTAGTAAATACATTTGATGGAATTGAATCACGTACAAAATCATTGAGTATGTCTACAAATCATCAAGAAAATATCCCACCAGCACTTGTTAATCCTCGGTCGATGACAATCACAACAGAAAGTATGATTAGTAGAAAATTTGATCCTTTTTTTCTTTTCTGCTATTATTTCCTTATTCATGAAATATCATTTCCTTAATGGAACGTTTTGCTTTTTCTAAGCATATAGAGATAGGGCATTGCCTCGAGTTCAGTTAGTTTTTGTTAGATTACAAATAAAAGACAAATATAACACCCAATGAAAAGAATAGATTTTGCTATTTGTTCTAAAAGATCAATAGACAATACAAAAAAAAATAATTCAAATATTGAACAATGAAAAAAATGTCCTTAGAAAATAATAAATATTTAAATTTACGATATTGTTTTTAGTTAATAAAACAACATCTATATCATCAACAGAGGATGATACTGAAGTAGCAAATACATTTCCTATTGAAAATTCAACAACAAGAACAGCTCCATTTGCAGTTCCACGACCACCTCGAACTCGTCAATCACTTGTACGTATATTTTTTATTGAATTTTTATTCTGTGTGTTATCTCTCTTTCTAGCTTAAGAATTTTTCTTCTGAAAAAAATTTTTCTATTTTTCAATTACATAAATATAATCTTAATATGAAAAAATCGAAATCAGATTTAAATCATCATTTGACATTTCAACAAAAAAAATATTCATCAAAAAAAATCTTTCAAATACGATTATCACTTATTGAACGTATTCGTTCAATTTGGAAATTATCAACAAAACAATCACCAATTATTTTTCAAAAAATTTCTCCACCATTAATTAGATTGAATATACCAATAACTACAAAGACAAGTTTTGGTTTTATAACGAATCATAGTTTTATTAAACAATCATCGATTCATTCATTTCATACAGCACGAGAAAGTTTATCTAGTCTTTCATTTAATGATGCAGAATCGATTTGTAAAATTATTCGATTTTATAATCTAAAAAAATCATTTTTCTACTATGATAGATTCATTAGATAGTATTCCAATGAATAATATAACTCTTCAAAAGACTATCAATTATCAATCGGAACTTCCTCCTCGACTTATTCCTCCATTGAATATTAAATTATGGCATCGTACACGAACATATAGTGATGAGGTTTTACTAATCGCTTTATGCACAATTATCTAAGTTAGACAAGGCAATGTTCTCCATTGATAATTCAATTTATATATACAACGGTCAAATCCTATTGACATATAATACATCTAAGAATATTCTTATTACTGATTAATATCATTTACAATCAGTCTATCTCTATTTGCGCTTATTTTGCAACTTAGTAGAAAAATTATGATTTTTTTAAATTCTTATGTTGCATTTCTTTTTAGCAACAACAACCCACTACAAGTATAAGTGGCCCAACAATTGCAAATGGTCGTATGACACCATTTATTGCTCCAAATACTCCAGGTTTTTCAAATAGTTTTACACCATCAATAGATCAACGAATGTCTCCATTAACACTCGGTGCTACTGATCAAATTCCAATAGCAGTTGCCTTCCAAGAAACAATTCATGTTATGATGTCTGGTGATGATCAAACCAAGTAAAATAAAAAGTGAATTTGTTTTTTACAAGAATAACATCTTTTCGTTTTTCTTTCAAGATGGAAAATTCGAATTCTTGGTGATATGCTTGTTTCATTTCCAGCTGCTATTTTAAATTTACTTGTTGATTCATCACCACATTTAAATACATTAGAATTTCGTTTACAAAATTTAAATAGAGTAGAAAATGTTATTGCTAATCCTCAATTAGTAACACAGTAAATAGACCAAAAAAAAATAAAATTTGAACTTTATCTATTTCTTCTTAACATAGTAATCGATCATCAGGAGAATCTGATGGACCAACTTATTCATTTAATATGTCAGCATTAAGTAATATTCTTCGTAATTTACAAGAAAAAAATCGTTCATTACCATTCTTTAATTTTGGAATACTTAAATATGAAGTAAATATGATTATTAGATTTTAATTCATATATCGACAACAATTTGTTTATTTTAAAGGTTAAACATTCAGGTATACCAAACATTCCTATACAAGTCTCATCACATTGGACACGTACATTCGATACAATAACAATAAATATTAACTATCGTTTTAATAGTTCAGCTTTACCTGAATCAGTTCGATTAGTTAATGATATTGTCATGTTTTATACTATAATAACCGATGGTCAACAAATTAATCAATCATCACCAACTTGTGAATGGTAAAATTCTTTATTTGTTATTAATAACGTATTATATTATAATATATAGGTCTTCAAATGAACATAAATTATCATGGAAAGTTCCATATATATTTGATGGATCAGGAACTCTATCAGCAACTATAACAACAAATCAAACGAGCTTCGATAGTACTGATAATGAACAACAACAAAAACCATTAACAGCATCATCAATTGTACATGTACAATTCCTTGCTGAAAATGCACTTTTCTCGTCAATTAATTTCGAATTTGCATGTCGAGGTTATCGTGTTTCATTACTTAAAAAGAAAATTGCTAGTGGTAAATATCAATCAGAACCAGATCAAAGTGAACCATTACAATTCTTTAAACGACCTTCAGTGGATCAAAATCGTCTATCTATATCAACTCCTCTTGTGGCTTAAATAATCTTTTCAATTTATCATTAAACATTTCAATATTCTCCCTTACTTTCTTTTCACATAGTCTTATTATAATGTTAGAAAAAACAAAAACATGTGCGATATATTTTATTCGTGAACAGTTAATCTATTTTTGTCTTTTTTCATTGGTTATCTCGAAAAATCTACGCACATTTATATTTAGTTAAATATCATTTATCCTCTTAATCATAAAAAATATTTTCCTGTTTTGTAAACAACAACTATCACAAAAACGCAAAATATCCTATATACGATATGTACATTTATTATAAATATATATATTAAATCATTTTCTTGTTCAAAAAAATGTTTTTTTTTCTTTTTCTTATTCTATTTTATGTTTGTTCATCTATATGAAAGAAGAAAGATAATAAAGAGAGAATAAATTAAAAATCTAGTTCATTTGCTAATTTTTCTTTTAATAATAAGATATTTTCTAACCAAACTTGACGAAAACGAAATTTATCCGGATAATGAATTAATCGCATTGTTTCAAATACAAATGATACTTGAATTGGTGTATTCTACAATAAAATAAAAATGAAAATTATATTTATAAGAAAAAAAATTAACGAATATATACTTTAGGTTTAACTTTTGAAACATCAAAAGTAAAATAAATAGATACAGTTTGTTTTGGTATTGGTTGTCGCCGTGTTGGAATTGAATATTGAACCTAATGCACAAAAAATAATATACATAAAAGAAATAAGTAGCCTGAATTTATTTTACTCGGTATATATAAAGATCATTAAATTCAAGAGATTTTTTTTCAATGAAATCTATGACATATAACCAACATGGATCTTGACCACTTGGTGATGTTTTCCATTGCTGTAATAATAAAATCAAAGGAGTTAATGAGATAAGTAACGCTCAGTCTTCACTGCCAGTAAACTATTTAATCAAACAATTTAAAAAAACTGACTCCGGATTCGAGTTCTCGACCCCAATTACCGTTGGTCGAGTTTTACCAAAAAGAATCTCTTTTGTTTCGACCAATGGATGAAGTGCGGACACATAAGCAATCAAACAATTTATTTCTGCTAGACTGTTCTCTATGAGAAAGAGAATATTTCCTAAACGATCAGTTTCATAAGTCTTTCTCTGTAAACTTTTTAAAGCGTCACATAAAGATATTATCTAGATATGTCAACATTGAAGATAAAATGTTAGTCCTACGTAAGAAAATGAATTTTTAGGTGCGCAATAGCTAATCATCAGTGATTCAATTAAAATCCTGGTTTGTTTTTGTAATCAAACCCTTCAATTACTTTGTCAATATATTCATTTATTTTTTCCAATCCAATATTTGTATTTGTAAATTCTTCAATTGTTGGCCATTTAACTATTGATTCCTCTTGTATTTTTGTTTGTGAATGATCATTTTCTAATTCAATAAAACGTTCTCGTTGATGATTATTTTCATTATTATCATTAATTGTATCACTCATATGAACGAATGATTGAGTAAGAACTTGATCGACAACTCGTTTAGCTTCATAAGCAAGTAAGTCATAATCTTCAGATTGAGCTAGAGTCTATAAGTAGCAAAGAAAAATTAATAATAATAAACAATAGTATCAATTACATGCCTCAGGCATATCAATATTGTTAACAGTCATCGTTTGTAGATTGTAATAAATCTAAACACTTGAAAAGCTCTTGACATTTAAAAGTCAGTAACTATGGTAAACCTTTCTAATTTCTAATTGGTTTAAAATCAACCAATGGAATACTTTAAAGATATATCCATGAAATACCATTTGTTTATTCATTCTCTTTCTTTTTTTTTCTTTCGTCCTTCGTTCTGTTACAGTATTACCTTTTTCTTATTTTATTTATCCTGCAATTTGAAGAAAAACATGTTTTAATTATTTAATTTGCAATGTTTGGTGATACACAACAAACCTTGTGGAAAACAGAACAGTCAGTACTTGGCCGGTAAGTTTAATGTTAATTATTTATAACGAAATTAAAATTGATTTCTTTTTGTTTTGTTTAAGACCTATTTTCGGCGCTCAATATCCACCACTTTCATCAAAAATATCTGATAAATCTATTCTAACAAAGCCAGTAATGTCTAAAAAGAAAGATCAAGATAAATTCAATGCATATGCGATTAATACTGATGATGCTTGGGAAATCGATGATAGAACAATGACATTAAAAATATTCGATAAGAACGATAATGATGGTGATGATGATGATGACATTGGAATTTCCAAACAGGTTAAAAATATTCAACTAATTAAACAAAAAACTTATTGTTCATTTTTCTAGAAACCTGAAGAAATAGCATCGAAATCCACTCAACAACAGAAATCCAATAAAGTCACAAACGGTAATGACCATGAGTCTGTAAATCGAATATGACGTTAGAATAGGTTTCATAATCCAACTTTAAACAGTTATCAGTTTGTACGTGAAAAATTCTTCTGCGCGATCTATTAAGTTGTACAAGAGACTATGAATTCACGGTTGATTAACTATGATCAAATGTCTAAATAATTAATCTATGTATTGCTTGCACCATGTATAATCAGCTTTTCTACTCTGATGAATTATTATCATTGAGAATTTAATTTTCTCAAAAATCATTCATTCGTGCTTAATCATAAATAGTTTGTCGGAATGTATTTATTTATATGTGATGTTATTTTTCAAATTTGGATAAGATATGTGTTTTTATTACATAGAGACTACTTTTGATTCTATTAGAGATAGAAATATCGTGAAAAAACCTTTCACACATAGATTGTGTTGTTTTTAGTTTCAAGGATAAAACAATACCCCGAAGATATTCACATCAATGCATAACACATTTAAATATCGATAAATTGCAACTTCATAACTCAGTATTCTTTTTGTTTTGTTTTACGTATCTATTTAGTGAAGTTATTATTCTCTACTATTAATCCTTTGTTACTATTATTTTCTTTACAATGAATTCGGAAATATTTTTTTAATACAGTATGGATTACTTTCTAACAGTTAATATCTCTTGTGTATTTAATCTCTAAAGATACTTAGTAAACTAAATAAGTAGCTTTTCATCTGAACATATCACATTTGAAATTACTGTATTTTCTTCAAATTAGACCTGTTTTTGATTTTAATTGTCATAAAATCGATAAAATGTAGCTAAAATAAAAATTAACATTCATCAAATCTTCATATTACTTCGTGAAATAGTAAACATCAAAATCTATTTAGCATACATAATTAAATATAATTTTATTCTTGTACCCAATGGAAAGAAACAAGGATAGAGTATAGCATAGTATTAATCATTATTGATGAACTTCTAGGGTAGAATGGGTTTAAGTATTTCTCAAATGAAACGTTTGTTTCTAGTTCGAAGATCAAATCTTTCAACGAATTTAAGCTCAACTTCCTATCCAGGTCTCGGTCGACGAATAAGTGATCAGTCAAATTCTAAAACATCAACATCTACACGATATAATAATAATAATGCTGCTTCTTCTTTCTCAACTACTAATAGTACAAAATCGAATTCTATTTCAATGGTTGATAATAATCAACAAAAAGAAAATAAATTCAAACAAATATTCGATCAAACAACTGTTGATCTAAGTAAGAAAAAATAAATTTAATTAGAATATATTTTTAATCTTCAAATTTTCATTTCTATATAGATGAATTACGTAAAGCAAGTTGGAATGGAATTCCTAAACAATATCGTGCACAAGCATGGAAATTACTCTGTGTATGTAATAATAGAATTATTTCTTTAATCTATTGATATTTATTTTTTAGGGTTATTTACCACCAAAAATTGAACGAAGAGAAGATACATTAGTACGAAAACGTGATGAATATTGGTCATATGTTACTCAATATTATCATACTCGTGTAGATAGTGAACATCAAGACACATTTAGACAGGTTTGTATTATATTAATTTGAATTTCAACGCGATTTAGAAGAGTGAAACTAATGTTGTTAGGAGACATTACATTGCTTGAACTATTCCATTAAACGACGAGTCAAGGACTCAATCATTTACAGTTGATGGTTCTGATATATTACATATCATATATTCACACTTCGAAATGCAAAAAAGGTCTTCACCATTCAAATCTGATGAAATTTAAAATACCCACTTTATCAGACATTTTAGCTGACTTTTTGTCTATGATTCTATATCGAGTATTAAGCCTAAATAGTAGTACATTAAATATAAGATTCTATTTATATGTGCTGATTCTTAATCTTCGATTTAGATTCATATAGACATTCCACGAATGACTCCATTAATGCCAATATTTCAACAAGTTGTTGTTCAGGAGTTATTCGAACGTATTTTATTTATTTGGGCTATTCGCCATCCAGCTAGTGGTTATGTTCAAGGTATAAATGACCTTGTCACACCATTTTTTGTTGTCTTTCTATCAGAATTTATCGAGAATGGTAAGATAAATTTTTAGTTTTGTTTTTATATCAAAAAAATAACGAAATATTTCTTAGATATTGAAATGGAAAGTTTTGATATTAGTTCATTATTAGAATCAGATCGACGTATTATTGAAGCTGATAGTTATTGGGCAACGTCATATTTACTTGAAGGTATTCAAGATAATTATACATTTGCTCAACCTGGTATACAATATAAAATACGAACATTAGAAGAACTTATTAAACGTATCGATGGTTTGTTTAAATAATAATCTGTTCGATATGTATTTTCTTTATATATTTAATTCTATTATAGAACCACTTTATCGACATTTAAAAAATCAAAATATAGAATTTTTACAATTTAGTTTTCGTTGGATGAATAATTTACTTATGAGAGAATTACCTGTGCGATGTACTATTCGCCTTTGGGATACTTATCTTGTATGTTGAATTATATAAAATTGATGAAGAAAAAAAACATTTCTTTTTTCTATAGGCTGAACAAGATGGTTTTTCTCATTTTCATTTGTATATATGTGCAGCATTTCTTATTCGTTTTTCCAAAGATCTTTTACGTGAAAAAGATTTTCAAGTACAAACAAATTTTTTTTTTGAAATTCTTTTAATTTTATTTATATATTTATTAGGGTTTATTACTACTTCTGCAAAATTTACCAACACATTCATGGACGAGTAATGATATAAGTATATTAACAGCGGAAGCATATCAATTAAAAGTTATGTTTGCAGATGCTCCACGACATTTATCACATTCTTGAACAGTTTTTGAATCTCTCTTTTTTGATTTTATTAATATACTTATGTTTTTCCGTATATGATTAATCTCTATCCTTAAATCACTAATCGCACAATCTCGAGTGATATATTTTCATTTTATTTTATAACCGAAAACGATTAAGAGGATTTGTTTTTTTTTCTGTTATAGCATTTTTTTTCTGACTACTTGATTGTTATTATGATATGAATATTGATTTTATACATATATATATATATAAGTTGGTAAGAAAGTTTATATTCAATTATTTGTAGAAATGTAGAATATCTTATCAACTTATTTCAAAAAAAAAATAATTTTTTTCTCCACTAGCTCAAATTAATATTATTTCATTCTTGTCTTTGCTTGTATATATTAATAACTAATTTATTTTTAATATAAATTCTTCTACATTCTCTGCAGTTAAAATCGATCTATGACTATTCTAATTAAATATTTATTCCAAAACTCTGTAATAATCTAATCATGGAGTCCATTGACTATATATGCTTACGATCAGATGGGTGTTACTAAAAAAAAGCTCCTTCGTCGATATAAAACTAAACGGAAACAATGAGCTTTTATTGGCAATGTGTAATATTCAGATATAAAAAAAGTCATAAATATTGGTTTCTTCATGACCAGTTTAATTTGACTTTTACAGAAATATATATTTTTTTGTCTTTTTAATCTAGTACATTCGCTTGAAATACTAATTAATATATTTTTTTTATCCGAGAAAGATTATAGTTTTTCTCGATAGAATAATCACAAGTATCTAGCGTATAAATTTTTGAATAAATATAGAAACTTGTTAATCAATAGCTCATTCAATATACAATATTTATGATGATTTAAAAGTCATTCGAACGATATTTTATCTTATGACAGAAAGATGATCATTAGTCATTGCAAATCATTTGTCTATAACTAGAAAAGTGCAAAGACGACATTGTTTATGTCGATATTAATGATGCAAGAGAATAAAAATGAGCAGTCTTCTACTTCTTTTCTATAGCAAGAGAGAAAAAGAAAAATGATCATTTGCTTTTCTTTTTTTTTTTCTTCTATTTCTTCTTATTATAAAAAGAAAAAAAAATGCCTAATCGAATCTATCTCAGGCTATAAAAAGAGATGATCATATTCAATAGAACATAGGCATATTTTTTACTTTTAGATTCTTTCAGATAATCTTATCCATTAACAATTAATAATGTCTGCTGTTGAAAATAAACAAAAATTAATTCAACAATTACGTACTGAAGCAAATATTGATCGTATTAAACTTTCAACTGCGTGTAAAGATTTAATTAAATTTTGTCAAGATCATGAAAATGGTGATGTCTTAGTTACTGGCTGGGAAAAATTTCATATTGATAATCCATATAAAGATAAAAATAGATGTGTTCCATTATAATTATCATATATGGTGCTCTACATTCATTTAATCAAACACTCTATATTCTAATACGTTATTAAGAATAAATAAAAAATTTTGTTTTCTTTTTTTGGTCTACGTTTATTGTAATTGTATAACATCTCATGCTTGTTTCCGTATTATTTTTGTTTGTTTTTTTGAAAATCTATTGCTTCGATTAGTTTTATGTTAAAATTATGATAATCAATAAAATGAATGATAGAAGTCTTCATTAGATATATGTATATTAGCAAAGTCATATCGAAGGAATTTCCGTTTTGGAAATTTAATTCAAGTAATGTAACAAAAAAATGTTAGATTATTAGCACCACATCTATTTGATGAATACGTGTGTGTGTGTGTAGATCGATTTTCTTCTCTTTTATCTTTTCCTATCAGAAGTGAATAAAATTGATTAAATAGATGTATGTATTAGTTGGTGTTGGTAGAAAATATGGAAATGAGAAGCTTTTCTTTTTAATTCTTATGAAAGGTAGAATAAATTATATAATAATAATATTTTGATTGAGTAGAATACGAAGCAATGCATACTTTTATAATGATGCATCGATAATTTTCCATGCAATAATATTGATCAAAGATGAAATAGAAATATGCCAAAAACTTTCTAAATGAATTAATAATTTAATTGTAGTTATGTGTGAATGATGTTTTGAAAATATTTATTTCATAATAAAGAAAAATTTCGACATCGTCAATCAATTGTAAATATACGAATATTGATTAATTAACCTCTTGGGAAACGAGCAGCGTAGATATATACGCTCAAGTTTTGAATCTACTAGTATTTCGATATAAGTGGGTCTACTATCTTCAATATAGAATAACACCTTTGACTCTGATCTTCTTCTAGTGCATGGACTCATTACTCCTATCATCATCTTTCGTGTTATCGTTTTTATGTTAAAATAGCTAATAACAATGGAATTTATAGTTATCTTTTGTCAAAAAAGTGAATTACAAGGAGTAATTTCATATGGATTTTAACATAAAGAGTTCAGTAAGTATGACTATACAATTGTAATATAAGTGTAAACATGATAAAAATGCTTATCCAAACATCCTCTCGAGTATTGACATTACTATGAGTAAATATATTTTGTCTGAGATCTTTGAACGATTTTCTTTCTCTTTTCAGAAGTAACCTCATCCCTAAGGGATTAATAAATATATTTTCTTCTTTATATAGAAAATCTCTGACCTTGAATGTCTATATTTATTACTATAAATATAATGTTTTAGATGAACTTGTTCTCGTATGCAAAGTTGGTTAGATCAAAGACTTTCGTAATACGTTCTTTTTTGTATCTATGATAAAAGTACACTTAAAACATGGAAACAAAAAAAGAATCATTGAAAGTAATGTAAGTGATTTTTTAAGAATGAGTCACAATGATTGTCTTTTATATAATCAACATCTAAAATCATATTTAATTTTATTCAAATCGTCGATTCGTTTGTCTTTGGAGTAACGATGTAGTGTTCTATATAGCTATCATATAGATAGTGGGTAAATTTAAATTATACTCCAACTTACGTCACGTATCTCTATAAATTATCTAAGAGAAAAAACAAGTTGTTATATCACGTAATGTTTCATTGTTTGATTACATGTGATTTAGCGGATCACTCAACATAAAATATTGTCCGCAAATAAAAATATTGACATATATGACGTGGATATTATTATTATATAGTTGCATCCATCATTTTCTTAACAAATGTACTGAAACTACAAAAAAGTATGACTCATCTTTCGTTTTTTTTACAATAGAGACATTATATCATATAGAAGATAACTTTGAACTTTTTCAAATTACTATTCTCGTTCAGTTTAAGAAGAATGGGTGATAATATTTCAACCGATTATTTTTTCGTTGTATCCTTTTAGAATTTTAAAGCGAGTGCAATTAAAGAAACTAAATGATTTCATTTTCTTTTTTTGTATAACAATTAAACCTAATACAATAAAATAATGCGAGAATAAAATATCTTTTTTTTCATAAAAAAAAGTTCATAATTAAAATCTAATTTATTAATGTCGTTGAGCTCCCATATGTGATGATGATGAACTGCTAGCTGAATGGGATGATTCAGCATGTGTAGTTGTTTTTCCAACTGTTACAGCAGCACCTTGAACATGTGTTTCACCAGTAGCTGCAGCTTTAGTTGTAATAACCTTCAATAAAAATATATATGATATAAGAAAAAATTCTAAAAAATAATCATACAGTAGTTGTTGTTGATGCAAGACGATTTGAAGCATCTTCATGTCCAAGAGCAACAACTTGTTCAGTTATTTGAGCTATAATAAAAATAAATAAAATGATATATTTTTTATAATTAAAAATATTTACTAATTTTAGCACTGCTTTGTGCTTGAGCTTCTCGAAGAACACCCTAAAAAAACAACAAATAATTTATAATAATACAGAATTTTGAAAAATATACCATTTTCAAACGGTTAGCTTCTTCATTAAGTTCATCAATACGCATACGTGCTGATTCAAGAATAAGTTCTTGACGAGCATTAAGTTCTTTTTCAAGTTGTGCAAGTAAAGTTGCTTTTTCAGCATCAACTTTAGCAACATATTCTTGAATTTTAAGTTTGAAGTCATTTTCGATTTCTAAATAACACAATAAATATAATTATACAATTCAATCCCATATACAAATAAATAAATAACATACCAGCTGTACGTGAATTAGCGTCAGCAAGAAGTAAATGTTGATGTTGTTGTGTTTCAGCAACAATTTTTTTTATTGATTCAGATACAGCTTCACTAATTTGTTCGGTACGTTTACGTGAATAATCATCAACTTGAACATGTGTTGATCCTTAAATTAAATCAATTAAAATCAAGGTTTTTTTTATTATTATTTAACAAAATTTACCAAGACGAGCCATAAGATCATTGATTTTTTTGGTATTTTCCATGCTAACCTTTGATTGAGTTTCAGTTTGAACAACTGATTGTACATGAACATTTTCAGCTTGTGCTGAATGTACTTTGGCTGATCCTGAACTTGATGTCATAGATGAGGTTTGATGAGACATTATAGTTTAATTTAAATAGTTAGTTATACGAATAGAGAAAAAAAAGTTTGTAATAGATATGTAATGTAAAAGGCGAAAAGCACGTCTATATATACACGCGTATATATTTTACATCGGCCTTGATCCCGTTCTCTGTATAAGGCATACAGTCCATTCTGTTTTCACATATAAAATAACGTTTTTATTAGACTCGTCTAACTATGCCATGGAGTGATTGTAAATCTGGATACCATTGTCATGTAGTAGATTGAAAACAATGTATTTAATAGATAACATATATTTTATAGGCAAATAATAATAATAATATAAAGGCAAGAAAGTAAAATATACCATTAGTGAAGTATTTATATAGTAAAAACGTTTTATTATAGTACAGTACGAATAAATAGATTTGATATATCAATTGGTCGTTATTATATGATATTTATTATGAAATAATATAACTTCTATGTTTGTTGTATTTGTTTCATACTAAAATCTAAAATTCATCGATATCGTTATTCCTAATTTGTCACACTTAAACTAATTAAATTAAATATCGTCGTTTTACTATTTTGCCTCTCTTAAATCGTGATATAGACTTGATAATTTTTCAAGCGATTTTGGCCTTTTAATCGTTACGACTGAAACTTTCAGTATACATTTGTACGATGATGTTTTTTTCACAATGCCTGGCATGTTAGTTACTATAATAGTCACAGATGGATATTGAAAAAAGAGATTGTCTAGAATTATTCGCATAGTTTAATGATTCATGGCAAAACAATTACAGTTTTGAACATTCGATGCACTATTGAGACAAACAAATGATCTTTATTTTTTTATTTCTCTTAATGATATAAATTCTATAATAACTACCAATAACTGTATAAGGACATATTATATGTTTATAAATATTTCTTTGATGGTAGTATGATAAATTTCTATAATGATTTAACTTCAAATTAGTTTGTATCAATGATAAGATTAGTACATGTTAGACGATGGTATGAAGATATTAATTTTACTAGATGCAAAACAAAACTTGAGATTAAATTATGATAAATACTTATGAAAATATTTCTTAAAGAAAGTTATTGAAAAGAACGCTTTCAGACTTTATAGATATTGTATACAAAGATGCCTTAGAGCGGCTACTTCTCAATAGTGAAACTTTGTATTCAATTGAAAATTATATAAATAATATTCTTGACTATCTAATCCAACAATGAGCTAAATATCGAATTTATATTAAAATCTTATCAATTTCGATTCGAACAACATCAGACAGAGTGATGCGTATGTTTGATGAGCTTATTTGTCTTTAATCAGAAATTGGAACTGGCAGATATCATATATACATGTATATAAACTTCAAACAAAGTAAAAAAATAGTTCTATTCTATTAAATTTACTATATGTTATCTTTGATTTATATGAAAGAAAAAGGTCAAATCATGGAATATTCTCTGATGATTCGACTAGACTCATAAGTTGATATCTATTATGTATGAATTGATTTTTATCAAAGATTAAAATCTTCAATAATATATTTCATAATTGTTAATATAATTTAATAAATTATCACATATTCAAATAGTTTTTAAAAAAATATATTCTTTATTCAATTAAAAACTCATATGAACGTGATCGTCTATTGCTATCCGCTGTGGATGACAATAAAGACTGATGATGAAGAAATGATATGAAGAAAAGATAATTTTCTGATTTCCATGTTGTTGGTAAAAATGATGAATAAGTATTAATCATAGTATTATGTTTTCGTGAAAGACCCATTGCATGCCGTTCTTTATATAATTCGATATCAGAATTAATTGAATCGGTCGATATTGATGTTGATATAGGTTGACAACGTGGTTTAATCGAATAATGATCGAAGTCTGTATTATACATGTTTAAAATTGATGTTTCTTGCTTATTAATATGTAATAAATGATTACATGAATGAAATTTTCGATAGTTATTTTGATTATTTATTGATAATTCATATATATTTGGACATGAATGAATAATTCCACCAGCAGTAAGAAAAAATTCATCATCATTTACTGAATTACCATCAAAATTGTCATTTCCAAATATACATGGTGTTATGGGTTGAATTAAATATGAAAAACATGTTGATGATTTTTCTGTAATATTATTAAGTATCGAAGTATTAGCCATTTTTCCATATGGTATTGTCATTGTGAAAGAACATTGATGGGTTGTCAAGGATGACTGACAGTTCGAAATAAACGATGATGATAAGGATGAGGATAAGAAAAAGACGAAGAAGAGAAGAAGAATTCTGATTCTTATTGACGTATCGAACAATAATAATGAGGCATTTCTTTTATTTGTTTTTTCCTCCTTATATACATATAAAACTCCACTTGCTCTATTATCGTCATTAGCCATGTGCCATATAATATCATCGGCATTTGTAGGTACTTCCGACCCGACTAATACGATTTGTGTTATTGTACTATTGGGACTTTTTTTTTCTATAGAATATATCAATAAAATATCTTTTCCTACGATTATTTACCTTTAAGAAGAAAAAAATAGGAGACATCAATGTGCACATATGTATCATTCCTTTGATACTTTGAAAAATTACAAAATAATATTAGCTTTACATCTGTTGCAGGTAATAAAAAACAAAGAAGAAAAAGAATCATTTGATTGCCGATAAAAATAAAATATCAAGAATTTGTTTCTTCGTCTTTAATAGAATAAAAAAAATTAATATTTAAATCTGTCTGATCCTCTCGTTTTTTTTTGCTTGTCTTTAATGAAAACATGATTTTGATCGAATAAATATACTTGACAAATAGACGTGTATAATATCAAGATTCAAATTTCTTTGATAAAAGAATCGAATTAAACTCCATCTAATCTGTCTATTGTATGAAAACTTGTAGTGTAGTATTTTTGATATAAATAAATGATTGAACAGTTTAGATATCTCTCTTTCAATAACGATCATTGCATGTTTATTTCACTATTTAAAATATAATGAATAGGTTCATGTTTGATTACTATAACTAAGAATTGTTGAACATTGATTATGGATGAATTTGTGACAGATAACTTTCGACAATAATTTGACAAGGATATAAGAGAACAAAGAGAAGAGAAGAGAAAAAAACACTAACATTTGTTGATTAACTTTTCTCTCTCTATGCATATATTTCTCTCACTCTCTCGGAATAGCGTTTCGAATCATTGATAAAATATTATACAATTGAAAGAAGAAAGTAATACGATATCACTGGCATGTAAATTTTCATATCAAAGAGATTGTGTGTATATATTGACTATGCTATACGCCCATTATTGCTCATCATATGAATCGTTTGTTGAAGTTTAATCATCGAACTTCAATCAAGCATGCAAACACTTTCATTCCTTTTTTTTATTTTCTCTATGATTATAAATCAAGTGAGAGTTGTGGTATACAATTGAAATCGCTTGATCAATTGTGACTGTATATAGCCTTCAGTTGACAAACATAGATTGTATATATATGTGTGTGTGAGTATATAAGATCCCTAAAGAAATTGAGAAAGAAAAGCTAAAGAAGAGTAATCTAGTGAGAGTGTTAATTTTCAGTTTGTATATCTATGATGTTATTGTTGTTATTTTTCTTGTGTCCTAAGAGACTCTAACACAGAGAGGAAAAAAAATGCGCATCTATTTTCTTCTTCGTTTGCTTTTATTAGCTGAACCTAAAGAAGTAGAAAAGAGGAGGGAGAGAGAGAGAGAGAGTAGAGAAGCAAAAGGAAGAAATAGAAGTAGTAGCAATAGTGTTGTCATCTAATCACATTAGAATAGAGAATTCGTTCGTTACTAATTGATTATGCTACTAGAGAAGAGCTACGGGATTCCATCAAAGTCTGTTCTTATCGAAGGGCAAATTTGATATTATCGTGTACGATCTGACAAACATTGACTTTTTGCGTTTTTTTTACTATGTCTATATTAGCTGTCGTTCTATCTCATCTTATCTATTGAAAGAGTTCTTACCAATTATTTTTATCACCCTTAAGGCATTCACATTATATTAAGAAGTCTAAGAAAATATAGAACGTGAGTTAATAATTCTCCTTGAATTTATTATTTCTTATCACATTATGTGTGAAATAATAATTTACTTTATACATAGAAAACATAAAAACTCTGAACATACTGTCAACTTCAACTCATTCAACCTTCCTTCCGTTACCGCGCTATGATAATGTTGAACCTTTCTTTTGTCTGTCTACATCACTCATATGGTGTTGATTGTTTGCTCTTAAGATCATATCCCTATCAAATACAATGTTATTTATTGATTCTGTCTACTATAATCATAGGTTTATTTAGATTTTATTTCCATTCTTATAAATCAGCCATTTGTCAGTAAACACTTAAAACTAATTCTTCTGAATCAATCATCAATTTTTTTTCCATATTCATTAATAATAAGACTAATTCAATTGTGAGATTGTTACCTTTCTTGAGTGTATGCATGCTTGAGTAGTGTAATAATGAGTGTGTGTGTGTGTGTGTTCGCTCTTCACTCGCATCTTATCGATAACGGACCATTTCATGGTTCGTATATTTGCATATATATTGATATGATGATGAATCTTTGGGTATACTCGATCCTTTTTTTTTAAATGAAATTGATAAGGTAAAGAAAAAATTGCTTCACTCGTCCACTACCGGAATTCGTTTATCATTCTAAAGAGCTATTTGAAGGTTAGAACAGCCACTTCGCACATTTTAACAGATCGACTTCGAACAGGTGTTGATTTTTTTCTTCTCTCTCTCTCTACCTCTCTTTCTTATTCCGCTACGGGAAGTCGATAATCGTTTTTTTTCTCTATGATCGATGATTCAAGTTAAGTGTATTTATGCATAGTTACAGATTCTAATTCGTTGAAGGTTATTTCTTCTTTCTCCCTATATATACATACTATACTAGTACTTTTTAATCAAATGAATATTCGTTAGATTTGTTTTTTTCTTTCTCTAGAGATGAACCATGCATAGTAAGTCAAAAAAATATTAGTATTGTTATTCTTCATTTTTTTTACTAGATATTTAGTAGTGAATGATACAAATGAGTTTTCTTTTTCTGTTGTTTCGATTAAACCTCTCGGTCCGATCTGTTGCATCATCATACATTTTGACTTTTTTCTTTTGCTCTTTGTATGTTGTTGAAATGGGCGGAGTGTCAAGTACGATTACACAAGCGACACGCGTGCGCCTACTGATGAACTATTCACTCACAATACGTTCTATGTATGTATGTATATGTCCGTCATCCGGTCTGTTGCCGCTTATTGGTATACAGTGCTCATAAAAAAAATGCAGAAGATGAAGGAAAAGAAACGATTTTGTGATGAGTGACGACAACTTTTCTTCCTGTCATTTCAATTCTATTAAACCACTTAACGTTCTGGTCGTCATCGTCATCGTGAAGTGAAGTGACAATCGATTCAGTTTTTTTTGCCTGAAACATATAACGGGTAGGAGGGGGTAAGACAAAAAGTTCAGCGAACTGTAATTCCTATAGTGATGAATTATGTGTAAATTGTACATTATCAACACATAGAATAAGAATGCTATGGGAATTAAATAAAGATGAGTATGTATTTGTACCCTATCTCTTTCTGTTGATAAGCTTACATCATAGATGATTGTTTTTCACTGTTTCTTATCAGCTTCTCTCTTTTTTTCTTTACTTGTATTACATAAATGATTTGGAAACATTTTATTTGACGGTTATTCTTGTCATATTAGATACTTGTACGGTATAGAATATCAATCAGTTAGTTGAGAAAGATAATCATATATTCACATTCTCTCTTGCGTACGTATAAAACTATGAAGCATATGCTTAAACTCAAGGGAGATAACGTAGACAATCTAAAATTTCATTTAATATTAATTGTCTATTGTCGGTGTGTTCATTCATTTCATTAATACAATAGGTAAAAAGTAGTGATAGTTATTTATCTTATTTTAGATGTTGTTGTTATTCTTCTTCATCTTCTTTCATTTTTTACTTAACCAAATCGATTCATGTCCATTAACTGATGCCTATTTATCTCGTTGTCATTGTGGAATTTTAACAAATGGTGAATCTTATATAAAATGTGATGAAAAATCTCTTAATGAAATACCAAAATTTAAACGTTCATTTCCCTATGATGAACTTATATTATCAAATAATAATATTAAACTTTTAACATCATCATCATTTGATAATATCAAAACAATAAAACGTATAAATTTATATGGCAATTTTTTATCCTATATCGATGAAGATCTATTACGTTTACTGGGAAATTATCTTGAAGAATTAATATTAACAGGTGATAATGAAATAAATTCCTTAGAATTTTTAACACGTTATCCATTAAAAAAATTACGTATACTAAAATTAAATCAATTCAACTTACAAAACATCAATCTCGAAAAAATTTTTTCTAATATGACTAAACTTGAACAAATATCATTACAAACATGTCAAATACAACAAATTCCACAATTAAATCAAGTACAAATATTAAATTTAGAAAATAATTTCCTCACAAATTCATTATTTCTTTCAACAATCTATTCCTCTTTAAATCTTGCTAATAATCAAATAACATCAATTATTCTACAAAACAATCCAAATTTAATTTCATTAAATCTTTCGAAAAATTTTCTTCAAGAATTTTATTCATTAACAATATCAAATAAAAATCTACAAACCTTAGATTTAAGTTTCAACCAATTATCATCGATTGATTTAACAATATTAAATGATAATTTAACCTATCTTAATCTTAGTTCAAATCAAATACAACAACTGAAATTTCTATCCTATCCGAAATCTTTATTATCATTAGATTTAAATTCAAATCAATTGAAAACTCTAGAAAATAATTCTTTATATGAACAATTAAATTATTTAAATCTCGATTCGAATCCACTTGAATGTAATTGTCATTTAAAATGGTTAACTAATCTTACAAGAAAACCATTATGGCCATGTACATCATCAAATTTTCAGTGTCAATCGATGTTAATTCCACGTATAATTACATTTAATATAACATATATAAAAACTTCGATAGATAATGGTCTTTTAATTGAATGGACATTGATTGATAATTATCATACATTATTTTATGTCGAATTAAGTATTGATCATATGTTAGAGAAACTTTCAATAAATCAAACACGTGTATATATAACAAATAATATACAATTTAATCAATATTATTATATATGTTTAATATTAATACATAAATATTCGCGTGATAAATATTGTCGAGATATACAAACGATTCATCCAATAATTATGAATAATATTAAATTTAATGATAATGAAATAATATTTAAGAAGACTCAAACTGATAATCATATTTATTTATTATTAATTGGTATTTGTATTGGTGGTTTATTAACATTTATATTATTATTAACGTGTTGTTATTTATTTTATCAAATACGAATATATAGAAATTCTAATTCACAACCTGTTTATGAAAAATGCTCACAACATTTACATTATCCGATTTATCATTGTCCACATCATCAAATAATTTATAATTCAGAAAATTTATCGAATTCAACTGATAGTACACATATGGACAATGCAACATTATCAACAACAAAAAATAATTCGAAACATATTTATCAAACAATTGATAATCAAGACTATCATTCATTAAGAAAACAACATTACCAAGTATTTGAATTATGGAATGAATCTTTAAAACATAAGAGATAGTTGTGTTAATTTTGTTTTCTTTTTGTTTTGTATTTTTTATTCTATATATACCCGGATGAATAGATTTTTGATGGTTCTAATCTATTATATATATATGCACATTGTATATTTGATTTTTATAAGAGGAAATGATAAGAAACATCTCTTGAATATTCTAAAGAACAAAAACAATAACTGTTTGAGTACTTGAAAAATATAAGCATTGTTATTGTGTCTAATTAACGTTATTATTCGATCGATTGAATGAAAGAAATTAAATTTTTTGTTAATACTTAGGCTATTTGAGTAGATAGAATATGATTATATAGAGTTTGTCTATTGATAAAACATATCTAAATAGACTTAAAAAGCTTATAATGGTTTATATAAATAAAAGGTTTTTTCTTCTTAATACATGAAGAGTCAATCAACTTGAAAACTATGATCGAAAAACAAAAATTTTCTATAATTAAGTAGTACATGATTGTTCAAGAGAAAAACAGATATTTTTTTATTGACTGTGTTTAGAATAACAATTGGTATTGATTCAAATAATCAAGTTTGTACGAGTCTTTTTTCAGTATGCTGACTCTATAACAATGAAATCAATTCTCTTGGAATTTTAGCCACTATACTAATAATAATAATGTAAAAGTTCTCTTTTGTGAAAAATTGATGGAACCAATGATTACAGTCTGTACATAATATGGTTATTAATAGAATCTAATAAATGATTGAATGTTTAGAAATAATTGTTTAATATTTGACAGAAAATTGTCACTCACAAATAAACTAACTTAATATTTTATACTTGCATTAGTAATTCCATTTTACATAACATCAACTATTGTCAGTATCTACGTATTAGGTGATGAATTCAAATAATGCGATGGACGACTTGAGAATGTAACTCGCTATATTGTTTTGTCGTGCACTGACCAGGCAATGCACATTTTCTACATTAGGTACATTTCCCATAAGATTTAATGTTGTCAATGACTATGTGGAATGATGATCATAAAAAATGTGCTAGATCGACTGAGAATATTAATTATCGTATTGTTGTGCAATATATTAGCTAAATACTATACACCTTCAAAGATGATTTTTATGTTCAAATGAATACAAACCTATGTTGTCTAAAATGATGAGTTCACATTCTATTCAAAAGAAAAATGAAAAATTTTCAAATAATTCTATCTGCCACTACATATTTATTTCTTTGTATGACAATTAATAAAAGATAAAAACAACATTTTTTATATATTAAATCATAGATATCATAAAACAGTATCGTGCCATTATTATTCCTAACTACGAAACTTGTAAATTTATACAGAAAACTATTTATGCTTTATTTCAGTCTATAAATGTTTTTTTTTGTTCAAAATTTCTTTAAAATAATGATTTGCTTTTTGTTGTTTTGATCATTGAAGTTGACCAGTAGCAGCAATTTTTACTTCACGTAATACTTCACCACTTTCTGATCCACTCATATCAAGATCTTTAAGTATATGAAAACCTTGTAAAATTTGACCAAATACTACATGTTTGTTATCTAAATGAGGACATTGCTCGAATGTAATAAAAAATTGACTTCCATTTGTATTTGGTCCACTATTGGCCATTGATAAAAGACCAGGACGATCGTGTGGATATGGAAAACCTTCATCTTCAAATTTTTCACCATAAATTGAATAACCACCTGTACCATTCGATTTTTCAAAATCGCCACCTTGAGCCATAAAACCTGGAATGATTCGATGAAAATATGATAAACGATAACCAAAACCATGTTCATTTGTTGTTAATGAAAGAAAATTTTGTGTTGTACGTGGTAATACATGACGAAACAATTCCATAGTAAGACGACCACGTGGTTCATTATCAATTTCAATATCAAAGAAAACAACTGGATTGCCTTGAAATCTCATTGGAACTTGTGGACCTGCAGCACCTCTATTCAAAACTTTTCATATGATTTTTTTTTTGAATCCTAATTTTTCTCTTACGTATTAGTTAAACCAGCAACTCCTCCTATTTGTTGCTGTTGCTGTTGTTGTTGTTGTAATGGTGGTGGTTGTTGATGCTGCTGCTGCTGCTGTTGCTGTTGCTGTTGTTGTAATTGTTGTAGTTGTTGTTGTTCAAGTACACTTCTTCCAGGAATTGCAGCTGATTCGTTATAACTACTACCATCTGTTGTAGCAGTTTTTCTATAACAATGTAAAAAATAAGAATAAATATAATGAAAAATAAAAATTATTCGTTTTGTACTGTTCATCAACTGTTTTTCCACTATGAGCATGTTTACTACCATCATCATGTGCATGTTTTGATGATCGTTTTTTATGTTTTTTCTTATGTTTTTTTTCTTCAGTTCCATCTCCTTTCGTATGTGAACTAACAGGTATTGCTGCATTTGATTCGTTTCCTACTTCAACTATAAAATCAAGGTATATGATTATGTAAAGATTTTAGATATATATAGATAATTTTCATGTACATATACCTCCAGGAATAGGTTGTTGTGTTACTCCAACAGTAGTAGCAGTTCCTTGTCCACCTAAATTTTGATAAACATATGTTGGTTGACCATTTGTTGGTATAGCCACATAATCTGTTATTGGACGAAGAAATTTCTTATAATAATCATCAATTATTGAATTATTATATTGTCGTACAACAGTAGATCCACGTTGATATGATGCATTAACATCATCTGGCGATGGCCATTTTGTATTTGCATCATCAACTGTTGGTGGTACATATCCACCTACATCAATTTGTTGTTGTTGTTGTTGCTGGGCAAATTGAAATGATCCAAAATCAATATTTTGTCGTTGTTGATGATCTTGAGGTACATTATTCAATGATAGACCGGCTAAATTTTGTGTTAAAATATTTTCATTGAATTGTGGTGGGAGATTATAAACAGGATTTGAAAACATAGTTGACCGTTTAAATATGTCTTATGAATCGCCTTCTTCTTTCTTTCTATCTTTATTAAACAATATTGGAAGAACAGAAGTAATGAATGTTTATTCAAAAATGAATGAATGTGATATGGTTGAATGAACAGGTGAATATTGAAGATTGCTTTTATTCGTATTCAGTTGAAAAAAAGAAAAACGAAAAGTTACTAACAGCGATCGACTGTCATTTTAAATGAGCTATGAACATCGATCATCTATTGGTATGAACATAACCGAGAAAGAAAAAAAGAATGTTTATGCAATCTCTTTTTGTATTCAAATGTATATTCAATATGAAGAGAAAAAAAAAGGTGTACTTACTATCATATACATTGGAAGATGTACATGACCTTCATGGTTCAGTTCAAACTTGATTAAAGTGAAGCCGTAGATATTAATATATGCATTCTTTTTTAATAGTCTTATGAAACTTTCGTTGTACAATATATGATGATAGGGTTAAGAAATAAAAAACTAAATTCTTTTCATATTGCTTAATTATTTATTTAAAAAAGAAAAGAAACAAAACAAAACGTTTAACAACATTCGGAGTAAAATATTCGATGTATAATAAGATGATAAAAACTAGAATGTCAATACACAAGAAAGAAAAAAAACATGCAATATAAACAATTTAAGTACAATATCAGTATAATATATTTTTTTTTCGTTTATATAATAACTACAATATACATATCTTCGTTTTTTTCTTTGCCTATTTGATGTTGAATAGTTAAGATTTCTAATCTGTGCAGATCGCTTTGATGAGCGCGCCGAACTGTAATGAAGGGCCTCGCTTGCGTTCTTATTACCGCACACTGTCCTAATACGCCTTCGCTTTCTTTTTTGCTTTATACAACTATCTCCTAAGTTGGAGTGTGTCGCTGCTCAACCCTCGCCGCCGCCATTTATGTTTCATATTAATTTTTTTTCTATATATAATAAAATTGATTCCTCAAATAGATATACATATATACGAACACTGTTCGCTTTACTGTTATAACTTGTATTTTAATTTTGCATATGTTTTCTTGTCATGTTAATTTTTTGCATTTAACATTTTCATTCGTAATTTTAATGGCATCATATCACCACGAGTTTCATTTTGTGGTTGCTGTTGTGTTTGAGTCATACTTGTATTAAACATTGTTGATAATTGTGATGGCGGTGTTGAAAAATAATTCATTAAATTTTTCCATTGATCAAATGATGTATGATGATGATGAAAATTTTCACTTGAATTTTGTTGACTATGATAATCAATAGTAGCTTTAGGAGGAGGATTTGGTTTACGTAAAAGACCATTTATAACTGATTGAAGTGCAACTTGTTGCTCAACAGGAGGTGTTGGTTGTGGTTTATTCAATGAAAGTAATGCCATTGCTGCATCATCCCATTTTTGTTGTTGTTCAGTATCTTCTTGTAATTGATTAAAATTTCTTTTTAAGGGTTTGATATCTGGTGGTGAAGCAATAGTTAATAAACGTGATGACGATGATGATGTTAATGTTTCTTGTTGTTTTGTTTTAAACATTTGATTAGCGAGAATTTGTAATAGAGATTCATTGGGTGGTGATGGTGATGGTGTTAAAGGTGATGGACTTTTTCGTAATAAATTGCCTGTTTTAACTTCTGTTCGGCTTAAATCAATAGCTGTATTATCATTGCTTTTTGGTTGTTGCATAGAACGAGAATCTTCATGTAAAGAATATTCATCATCATTATCACTATCATTTTGAGCAAGAAATGCTGATGCTGATGTTGCTGGTTTAAGACATATATGACCAAGACGTTGTTCTTCTTCAAATATATTTTCCATTTCAGTTTCTTTCATATTTAAACGTGAAAGCATTAAATGAAGTTTAGCTTTTAATGTTTCATTTTCATTTGATAATTCAACTACTTTTGTTTCTAAATAAAGAAGAAAATAAAAAAAAATAAATTATTGATTTACTCATACCAAGAACAATATCATTCAAACGTCGTTTTTCTCGTGAACGTTTAGCAGCTAAATTATTTTTTCGTCGTCGTTCCCAATAATGATCATCTTTCATATCATTTGGAATAAAATCACGACGTTTTCGAGCTGGTATAACATCTTTACGTGTTAACAATTGAGTTAAAAAATCTTTATCAACACATTGTGGTCCAGCTGTTGTAACAACTTTGACAATTTCACGGTCATTCATTGAATTTAAACATGAGGAATCTGTTGCAGATATGAATGGTACTTGAGTTGGAGGTTCGTTAGGTAATGGCATTGATTTTCTTGATAAAAAAAGAAAGAAAATTTATTTTCAGAATAAAAATTTCAAACAACATACTTGATACGTTTGATTTTTGAATCAGAAGGTGATATCTGTTGTTGTTGCTGTTGTTGTTGTTGGGTGAGAGCATAGAGCATATTTAATTGAGATTGTAAATTACCAGGAAGTAATTGCGGTGTTTCAATAAATGGAGATGTTGATGAACGAAGAAAATCATTTGATTGCATTTTCTATTATAGATATATATTAAAAAAATAAAATATTAAAAAAATTATTATGAGAAACGAACTTGTATGCTTGTAGTCATTGTTATTGTCGAATAATAAAGATGTACGTCTATTCACGTTGGATTCGAACACGAAACTGACCTTTCTTTCTCTTACAATAGATTTTCTCTCGTTGCCCTAATTCTTTCGCTCATTTTTTTCTCTATAGTTTTAGGTCAAAGTAATATGATGCAGATGTGTACATACATGTCTGCGGTCAATATGAGTTAGGTCAAGCTGACCCTCTTCTTTTCTGCTTGACCGTTATACATACTCATTCTTTCTTTCTCTCTCTCTCTCTCTTACGAACATCTGCATACACAATTATTGACCTTATGTGTATATATGTATACATATAAAGTTGTTCTCTTTTCTTCGATCAAGAGGAATTATCGAATGGATGACCGACAACTTGATATGATGGTCATGTCCTTTTTTTCTTCTCATTGAAAAGAAGAGAGAATAAGGTCAATTTAAAGCTTTTCTATTGAATCTTTTTGAGAAAAGAAAAAGGTTATGAAGAGCATTTCTTTCTTAGTTATGACCGATATGATTATTGTTCAAATATATAGCATACATTGTCTATATCTACATAAGGAGGTCGAACTGACCGACATAATTCTTTTCTCATTATTCTATGTGAATGTATCGGTCACACAATACTTATCCTTTTTGTACACACAATTTATTTATTCACTTGACCGATGATAATAATAGTTGTCTAGGTACTTTGGCCTTCTCATTTTTTTTATTATATATACACATATGAGAACATTGGTAGTTATATTTACGACTGGAGTTAATTTAGTAGCAAGAAAAAAATATTATTAAAAAAAGATAATGAAAGGTTAACATATCTATCTATATTTATGTCTGTTCTTGTCATTTGTCACGAGGCTGAATGGTTAATAATCAGTTCTTGCATATAGCATTAGTGGTAGATGTTTTTTTTTGTATATACAAGAGACGACAACCTCGACGTATAAAGATCAGTTGATGCTATAATGATAGGAAACGAAGAAAAAAAAGAAGAAGCCTAAGGAAAGTACGAGTACTAAAATGTACGACTAACACAGAATTGTATAAGTACTACGAAACAAAAAAATCTATATGATGCAAAAGAAGGAAGATAACGACAACAACAAGAAAATGTCTGTTAATGCTATAGATGACGATTCACTTTTAATCCTACTTCGTGATGCTATTGTACAACATTCACCACATAAAGATATTAAATTTATTCTTAGGTATTTGATTTTTGTTATTAAAAGGAGAAGAAAAAAAAACAAACGATTCTATTATCTTCTTTTAGTTGTAAAGAACTAAATATTAATGGCGCTGTTCGTCGTGGTCTTCGACCATTACATTATGCTGTATTTGAGAATGATTTTGAATGTGTTCGTCTTCTTATTGAAGATTATAAAGCCGATGTAAATGTCTTAGATGAAGCTGGTTATTCACCTATACATTTAGCTGCAAAATATGGTTTTATTGATATCATGCATGTCTTAATTGATAATGGTTCACTTATTAATTTTCATATTTCAATAAATAATTCTCAAACATGTTCAATTCGTACACCATATTATGATGTTATGATAGAACCCTTAAGTCTTTGTTTAGAAAATAATCATATTGAATGTGCACGTTTATTACTTTTTTCTGGTGCAAATGTTAATCAACAATATTTTCTTGGTTATGAAATAAATTTATTACCATATGAAAATCTTTCTTCATTAGAATTAATACTTAAACATGGTGCAAATGCAAATGCACTTTCACGTAGTGGTATAACACCATTAATAAAAGCATGTCGAGAAGGAAATCTAGGTGCTGTTATATTATTATGTCGTTATGGTGCAAATGTTAATTATGTAACAAGAAAATTTCGACAACGAAATGCACTTCTTCTATCGATTGAATCTAAACGATGTGATATTATTGAACAATTATTAATTAATGGAGGTTTTGTTAATAAACATCCGGATTTATGTAATTCACCATTAGAATTAGCTATTCGAAAAGATCATATTGATGCTATACAATTATTAATTGGTACTAGAATAAAAAAAAAATTATTTTTTAATATATTTCTTTTTGCTTTTTAAGCTTTTGGTGCCGATACAAATGAAGAAACAAATGAAGATAATGAATGTACAATACCATTAATTCTTGCTTGTCAATTATCAAATTTACAAAATCAATATACTATTATTAAATGTCTTTTAGAAAATGATGCGCAACCAAATCATTCAGTTTTATATAATCCTCAACATTATTATCAACATGTACTATATCGAACACCATTAGTAACTTATATTAAACATGCTCGTGATCGACAATTAGATATGAGGATTATTCGTTTATTGATTGGTTATGGTGCTCGAATATCATTTTCAAGAGGACGAGGTTTGTTTATTTAGATTTAGATTTTTCGAAAAAAAAATTTTTTGTTTATTTTAGATAGTGTTTTACGAGTTTTACGTCGTTTTCAATCGAATAAATATTTAATTGAATTACTTTGTGATGCTGCTTATTTATTTCAATCAAATTATATTACTGAATGTACAGAGCTTGATGAAAAAATCAAAATGACTATATATCAATATGCAATAACACCGCGTACATTAAAAAATATTACAAGAAAACAAATTCGAACATATTTATTTAATTCATCAATGAAAATACGTATTGATCATGCTGTGAAAAAATTAGATATATCTATTTTCTTACAACGATATTTACTTTTTAATGATGTTTAATTGACTAAAACTATTTTTTTGTATATAAATATATAAGAACCAGTAATAAAATCACCGGTACTAAGCAATTAGATTACATCGTAATAGCGGTATCTACGATTTATAGAACTTAAATTATTTTATTAGTCGTATATTCATGGGTTTAAATCTGATAATACTAAAGCATATATTGTTATGACGATTGATAACAGACAACACACTAAATCAAATATTTATAACATATGTCTCTTTCAATCTTAATATTTACCTCTTGATTTAATGATGTGTCGTCGATGTAAATGATGTCATGAAACTATTTTTGAAATAAAAAATATATTAATGAGAATCATGACGTTGCTTAGGCGTAAATAGACATGCTTTTCGTCTCATATGAAAGCGTGCTAGGTGAAGCTGTCTTATATGAATAGACACACCTCAATGCATCTAAAATGATGGTGTTTTTTAAATATTGTTTTATACAAGGAAACTATTGGATAAAAATAGTCCTGTTAGTAAAATGTCATTAAAAAGTTTTTAAATATTAAAATAAAAGAAGTTACTATAGTAAATGTTCATATAAAATTACTTTTGAATAATCTTTGTGATACATGTAGAGTTTAAGTTGACTATTATATTCAATTAATACATTATACATATCACTCAATACGTTTAGTTCGATCATTGCACTTTGTACTGTGTGGACTTGCAGTTGATGAGTAACTATTTCGTTAGCTTTACCATATGTAAACAAAGTCACCTGTATAAGAGCAAGCACATATGCATATTTATGCTTGGCTTTTTCCCGAAAAAAAAATAAGTGAAGAAAAGGTAACGATCAATGCAATTAAATATTGCTGTTTTTCGTTTACATGATTGTATTACTCTATAGCTGATTGATAATTCCATCTGTCTTACGAATGGTTATAGATGATGAGCTTGATTCTAATACACATCAACTATGCAGTTTGACTATAAATATTTACTTCAACATTAGTTTCATTATATTTGTAAGTATTTATTTGATAATTTATAACTTACTTATTACGATTCATTTAACAATTCATTATCACAACAATCTGTTGGAGGTTATTGAATACAATATTCGGCTATATAAATCTTATACGTAAGATGCATTGAATATTTGTACTTAATACATATTGTTTTTGGGTATAAAAGCTATTTTTGACTATGACTGAATAATTAGTTAATAAATGAGATAGTTACATTATGGAAAAAAGATGATTTTCAAAACGTTTTTTTTTCTAATCTCTAATCCTATATTCATTTTTTATATGAGGATAGTGCAGTCAAATGGCATATCTTAAAATATGAGAAATATTGAGATATTTAGGATTCTTCCTATGTTGTCGTTTCGCAAACTACACTCTAGGGAAATGTTACAATACTCGAGACAATATAACTCAACAGAACAAGATTAAATATCGATAGTAAATCTTATATGTATATGTATCGAAAACATGAATAGAATTTCTTAAAAATATGGGAAAGATACTACTCCTATATAAGACTAAGAATTCGAATGCTTTACAAGATCAAGCGATTCGACTTATAAATTATGTATTCTATCTAATTGATGATATACAGTAGTATAGTAAGGTATATCCAAGAAAATTCTAACTACTGTATAAAGATCGTCATTGTCAGTTTTATTTATATATGAAAAAAATTGACAAAGATTTGCGCTATATGCCAAATTAAGGATAATTATATTAAACTTAATCCTAAAATACATTATAGAATTCAATTGGAACCATTTGACGCAACTATTATCTTGCCGAATATATCCAGACAAAATTCTCTTGAATTAAATGATATTAATAATTTTGGTCAAACACCAGAGGAAATTATTTCTATTGACGACACCTTCATATTCGAACATATTATTCTCTTTGATGACTGAGCTGAAACTGGACCGATAAAAAATTATATATATGCATTACTCAAGATTTAATATATACAAACTCAATGTGCTTAGCATCGTGAAAAAAAGATTATATTTAAGTCATACGTGAATGAATAGTGTTTACTAGTTTGTAAAACAATTTCATGTTAATTTTTTTTTGTGCCAATCTGACACGGAAGAAAATATGTGTCGAAATGTCATTAAATATATAAATAAAATGGGGAGGGTGGTGGGTTAAACGATACTCATATATATATTAATATAGATCATCATAAAGATTTTTATTTTTTTTTTTCAATGAGATTACACAACTCTCCACAAAAGAAAACATAAAATACGACTGTTCATTTATTTATATAAATGGGTCCTGTTCATTTGTAGGTATAATTTCTGTAACAACAGTTGTTGTTGTTGTTCGTTTCGTTGTATTTTCCTGACGTCGATATAAAAACCAATAACATGCATAAATTGGTATAGGTAATGTTGATATAGTACTCATTGACCATCCAGCAATACTAACTTTTAATGCGATATTTTTTCCTTCACCCATTGAAGAAAATTCTTTACTATCAAATTGAATAAATGAAAAAACGTAAAGAACAAATAATATTAATGGTGCAATATAACGACATGTAATACGCCAATAGATACTTGGCTTATGTCCAGTCATTGTTTCAACATCATTACTAAATCTATCCATTCCATATAACCATACAGTTGCTAGAAGTTCACATAAAACAATAAACATTATTGATGGTGATGTACCAAACGAATCCATAAAACGAATAACATGTTTTCCACCATGCGTTAATGTTGGTATTGATATTAAAAATGGGACTAATACAACACATGCACGTGATAAACGTGGACGACGAGCTAATATTGGAAATTCATCAGATATTGCTGTATAAATACTTTCGGCGCCAGCAAATACACTATCAAGTCCTAATGTTAATAGCATAATAAAGAAAAGTATAGAAAAAAATGGTGCAGCACGAATTGATGTTAATAATTCTGGATAGACAACAAATACAAGTCCCATTTCAGTATCAGTAAATTGTGTTACATCACGTTTTAAACGATGTGATAAATAACCAAGACCAGCAAAAACAACTGTACCATATAATAAACTTGTTGAACAATTAACTAAACTAGCAATTAAAGCTGTACTAGATACATTATCATTTGTATCACTAAAACTAGCATAACTAAGTAATACACCAAAACCGGGTCCTAAACTAAAAAATATTTGTACAGCAGCTGCTTGCCATACAGAATATTCACCTAGACGTTCAAATGATGGTTTAACATAATATTTTAAACCTTCAAATATTCCATCAAGTGTTAATGAACGTAATAATAGAATAATTAATACAGCATAAGGTACTAATGCTGTAAACCATATTGCTTTACCAGCTGTTTTAACACCTTTAAATATTGATAGATAAATAAGAATAAAAACAATTATTGAACATCCAACTAATTCCCATTGTAGTGAACCTAATTGATTTATACCTGGTGATAAATGAGATCTAAGCATACGTCGTTCATAATATTCATCTGTTGATGAATGTGATGCATTATTTGTCATATTTAATGATGTATTATCATGTAATGAATAACATGATTGTGTATTCCATTTATTATTACACAATGTCCATGGTACAACTGCACGAAATGATGCTATACAATAATGAACAGACCATGCAATAATTGTATTATAGTATGATAATACATATAAATTAATAATTAACATTGAATAACCAATTCCTTTTAATGGAGGATAAACTTTATCCCATATTGTAATATAACCAAGACGATGATATTGTCCAATGCATAATTCCATATACATACCTGTAAAGTTATTATAAAAGTTTTGATAATTAATTGAAAAGAAAAAAAAAACTTACAGGGAAGACCGACAAGAAAGAGAAAAGTAAAGTAAGGAAGAAGAAATGCACCGCCACCATTTCGATAACATGTTGTTGGAAAACGCCAAACATTTCCTTAAAAAAAAAAAAAGAAATGAAAATTTAAAGATTTAAATATAAAATCTCTTGATACCAAGATCAACAACGAAACCAATAATTGATAAAAGATAAACAATACGATTACTCCAATTAGCACGTTCAACTCGTTTAATTATTTTATTAGATTTATCTATTGTTCCAACTATTGATGGTGGTGTTGATGTTATTGTTGTTAAAGCAAGCATATTATTTCTTGGTTCTGATTGATGGCGATTTTTTGTAATGGACATTGGCATATATTCTTGATTATTTGTATTCGTAGTCATGTATCTATTTATATCGAATTAACCAGGATTGTTATTGACTTGTTTCATGATCGATGATGCTCCTGGAAAAGATATAGTTTTAACTGGAATAACAGATGTGTCACTTTAACTACGACGTTATCTCTCTCTCTCTCTCTCTTTCTCTATATATATATGTGTATATATAATATATATTTAGCTTTTCTATCTGACTCTCTTCACATCAAAAATGCTAATGAATGAAAGATGTTTCATTTCAAACGACGCGTTTTTTCCTTCTATTGAAACATAAACATCAAATCTATCTGTCAGCACTAACCTTTCCAATTAGAAATGATACAGTGGAAAAGACTATTAATATATATATATATATACCATTTTATTACGAAAAACACACACACACACACATCGGAAGTGCAGAATCTTTCTCGTGCGGGGAGGGAAGTTTTTGCGGAGTAACTAAGGGTGGGTATGAGGAAATTTTCGAACAAAAATTCCGAGGGATTAGAAATTTTTGATTTTGTGGAAGATTCTGCTTCTCTGATACACATACATATTTACTTATATACGATACATGTAGATAAATATTGTCAAAAAAAGAAAAGATCGAACGACTCTTTCGATATGAAAAAGAAGTCTATTTGATATATATAAAATTCTTTTTTTTCTTTTTATCAACGATGAAAAGAGGACAGATTTACTATTATAATTATTATCATTTGACTCAGTTCTGTTATTATTACTATCCAGGTGACTCGAGTATTCTTTTATTAGATTTATTCATGTAACAAAAAAACAAACTTACATTTTCTTTTCTTTTTTAGCTACTTTTTTATCTTTATGTTTGATCTAATGCACGTAAATCGTCTGTCATCAATCTATCAAACATGTATGTATGTTGTAAAAAAATACTCCTGAGCAATTCACGTGGGAGTATGCGTATATGTATATCTCAAGTCTGTACGTGATATTCCGATATTCTTCAATAACTGATCAATTAATCGAATATAAATTATCTATATATATATAACAGATATTTATTTTACTCTTTAAAACATACATTGACAAGTTCTGTATTGATAACAGACACGAGAGAGATGAAGCGATTATTTGTTGATAGTGAGTTGAGTAGAAAAAAACTCATTCGTCATCTCTTGAAAATCGTACAACGACTCTTCAACTGATAAGACTTATCGAATACATATAAAAAAAGTATAAAAAACCGTTTTTTTTCTCCTGTCTGAAAGAGTCTATATAAATCTTGACAAATATCCCTTGTCATTGTAAAATCTAAAAATATTTTTCTATAGCTAATGAATAGATAGACGAACAACCGTCACAATTTCCGCTTCTTATTGAACAGCGGTATTCTTCTTTTCATTGTATAAATATAATGGATCATTCAACATTATATATTAAAGTATCAAATTTGTTCTACTTTCAAGAGAATAGAAAAACACAAGATCTAAATTAGTTAGGTACTTTGTTGTTGTTTTGATAATTAAAAAAACACACTGACAATTAATTGATTAATTATTCATTTTCAATTCATAAATAATAAGTTAATTTCTTAATTGCATAATTAGCTATGAAATTTATCATTGATTTTTTCTTTTTTTTATTTTGAAAAAGAGAAAAAAAAAGAAATAGCATGAACGATAGTATTCTAGGAAGAAGAAAAAAAAACGAAATATTTTTTAAAAGAACAATAAACAATACAATAAAAAACACATAAAAACGATGGCAATGAAGAAATCGATTCTTCTAATCTGTATGCGACCAATGAAAATTGAAATGTAGAAAGAAAAACGAAAGAATGATGACAAATTTATAGATACCGTTATATATATATATTATGTCATTTAACGTAATATAATATATACGATATAGTGTTCTTCAGGCAATAACAAGAACAACTTAGAAATATTTAATATTGAGCAAGACCACCACCATTAACTCCTATACCGGAACCTGATCCGTAACTAGCTGCGGAAGCTGATCTAAAAACACTACCACTGCTCTCTCGTTGACGAAGTTCACTATACATTTGTTGTTCAACTTCTTCACTCTTATGAACAATTTCAAAAGCTGGACGACCATAACGACGCATTAATGTTGGTTGATCAGTTTTTTGCCAGAAAGGATTAACAGCTGTATCAAGTACTTCTATTTGTGTTGGACAATTGGCTGGTATACCTGCTGCTTCAGCTGATTGTTGGAATGTTTGTCGAAGAACTTCTTGATTACGATGAGCAACATTAGCAGCTGTTGCATTATTTATTCCAGATAAATTCGAATATGATCCATGAAAACTACTATCACCACCGCCTAGAAATAAATTAATATAAAAATAAAATGTGTAATTATCTATATATTTAAAAATTTATATTATTGATAAATACCTGTTACTTCATGTGTTGAACTTGTTGCATATTGTTGTTGTCCACCACGTTGTGCAGCTAAATTTGAATATGATCCATGAAAACTACCTTCGCCACCTTGTTGTAATTCAACGTGAGAACTTGATTGACTATGTTGATATTCAGTCGGAACATTTACATTAACACCTTCCCCTTGTGTTTGATAAATATTTGAAACTTCATGTGTTGAACTATTTGCATATTGATGTTCTTGTTGCGTAGGCATATA